CGGCTATAAGCCTGAGAGGAACTGTAAGGTATCGGACTCTTGAGGTCCGAGGTAGTAAGTTCCTCGGCCATGAGCCTGAGAGAAACTATAATGTACCAGACTCTTGAGGTCCGAGGTAGTAAGTTCCTCGGCTATGAGCCTGAGAGGAACTGTAAGGTATCGGACTCTTGAGGTCCGAGGTAGTAAGTTCCTCGGCCATGAGCCTGAGGAACTGTATTTAGGCCAGATAGTCTGGGCTTAAAAAAAGAGAGAATATGTTTTCTTTTCTTAATATCTCTTTAGGGCTGCTTATACTGCCCCCATTATGGAAGGTATTGCCCCTATGAAGGAAAGAAAAATATGTCTCGTTTGATGGCGGCGATGTAGATAATTTTCATGTAATTATACGCATCGGCACTCTTTGTGCTTTGGAGGAGTTTACTTGAATATTTAACTTTCGACGTATTTAAGTTCGAGGTGATTTTCTTGTAATTTTATTCATCGGCACTGTTTTGTACCTTAGAGAATTTTTTCATGAAAATTTAACCTTTAATGTATTTGAGGTAATTTTCATGAAATTTTATTCCTGTTGCAGCTCATTATGCGTTAAAGGAATTTTGAAGTCTTCGGACTCTTGAGGTCCGAAGATGAATTTTCTTCCTCGGCAGCTCGTTGTGCCTTTAGAGGAAATTTGAAGTCCTTGGACTCTTGAGGTCCGAAGATGAATTTTCTTCCTTGGCAGCTCGTTATGCCTTAGAGGTAATTTGAAGTCCTCGGACTCTTGAGGTCCGAAGATGAATATTCTTCCTCGGCAGCTCGTTGTGCCTCAGAGGAATTTTGAAATCTGCGGACTCTTGAAGTCCGCAGATGAATTTTATTCCTTAGCAGCTCTGTGTGGCTTAGAGGAAGTTTGAAATATGCGGACTTGTGAGGTCTGAAGATGAATTTTATTCCTCGACAGCTCTGTGTGCCTTAGAAGAAATTTTACTTTTTGATACCTTCGGACTCTTGAGGTCCGAGGCTGCTTTTTGGTGTTCGGCTTGCCCCCAATTTTTTTTTTTTTCCCGACGTTCTGACACCACATATAACATAGCTGCATAGTTGGGCTATTTGCCACTTCAGTTGGGGATCAATCTTTCTTGCAACGCAAATAAACCAAACCTAAATATTATTAATCAATATACAAATAAGGAGCAAATATGAAGTTATTTGTAAACAAAGTTATCAAAAGCATGTAAAATAATTACATGTAGCATATAGCAATTGATTGAAGGAAATACAGAATTTTAAGAACTTCTTATATATCACAATTGAATTTTTAATAAGAAATTCTAATTAGCAGCAAATACATTGAAATTACTCAATGTATGTAATATTTTCGGACTTTAAGTAATAGACCAAATAGCACAGCTCATGCATTCAACAATGCCTTTGGCCTCAGATCTTTTATTCAAGTATAAATTTCAGAAGTCAATGTAGAGGGTCAAACGCTTTTTAGTTGAGTATTGACGAAGTAGTGCATCCCTCTAAAGAGTCTGAACCAACAATATCGGGTGTTGTGGTTCGAAGGTTCTGATCAATTATCAACCTTCAGTGAACAACTAATGGATATAATCTAAAAGTCTGATCAAAGTTAATCGTGAGCGAAACAGCTAGTGGATATGACTGAAATTGCAATGCTAAAAATCCTCGATGAGAGAAAGAGGGATGAATTCGTAGATCTACTATAATATTGACAGTCACACACACACACATATGTATATATATATATGAGGAGAAATGCAAATTAAGTGTGAATAAAAGTGATTTCTGATCACAACCGAAGAAGGAGAGACTAAAGAATCTGTTGAGTGCTGACGGAGACAGAATCTTACGGTGGCCTCTCATTTATATTTTTACACAATAGAGTGTGCCGAATAAACAATTTGGTTCTTATAGGTTATACCAAATTGAGTCATAAATCTTTATGTATAATGATCGTCTACATGAATTACAAAATATGATTGCATTATGTGTAAATATATATATAATATTGATATATGTATATATATATATATATATATATATATATATATATATATATATATATATATTACTATGTATTTAATTTTTAATAACAATTTGTATCATGAAAAGCTTAACCCAAATTGTAAAAATCAAAGTTGGGAAACTTATCTGATTGGATGTTTGAAATACCCGGCCAATAAGTCTGCTGGAGTTTGTGGCGTTGTTGATGGAAAGAACCTTGTGCGCCGGCTTGCGTTTTTAGACGTCGGCGCTTGTTATATGAAGGCCTTTGACCATGAGAGTTGTTGTTGGAGAGGACTTGGGTTCAAACCCTGGACTTGAAGATGTTAATTTCAAGTCACATTGCTGGACTTGGAGATTTTAATCTGAAGTGTCGTAACTTTGGTGGGGATATATTTTTATACGATTCCCACAGACGGCGCCAAAGTGTAGGTGCAAAATTTCGCTCAACCAATAATGATTGGGAAAAATAAAACAACTCACTCAAAAAACAATAAAAATAAATAAGAACAGTGTATAGAGAAGCGTAAATTGCTTGATCCCTTTATTGGAGGTCTAAGCCTCTATTTATATACAAAAGATTGTAAAATTATGGTAGGACTCGCGTTACTTGTCCTCCAATTCTTTCCATATAAACATTATTTACTAATAAAGTTCTTTCCATTGTCTAATTTTCCATACATAGAACTTGCCTTATACAAAACTTCCTATCTCAGAATTTTCCTTCTACGGTAAATCCTTCAACTGGTAGGACTTGTGCATTCTTGAGTAACTGGGCTGAACATACTTTGATCCGGCTGGGCTTGAGTAACGGACCGGATGTTAAATATTAACATGTTGGGCTGATAATCTCTTAATTCGGGCTTCAACAGGGCTAAAGGTCATATAACAATAGTATTGGGCTTGTGAACAGTGATCTTGGACTAGTATCAAACTCAATTTGGGTTTGAGCGAGGTGGGCTTTATAAACTTATCAAGGATATGTTTATATTTATGATGACGTGGATTATTCTCATTAGAGGGGATTTTTTCCCTCCACACTATCAGTTTGGGGAAGAGTTGCTTTGATATTGTTTGCAATAGTCATTCGCATAAACATAATATTAATCTGTTCAATTTTTCTCAAACTTTATGGAGAGACTTTTCTTTCTCACTGCTTTCACCAGTAATAGCAGTAGGTTTCTCAATTTGAAATGCTAAATCAAGATCTAGCACACCTAAGTTGAACTGAACTTACTCATTCCATTCTGAGAAATTAGTCCCATTGAGAATTGGAACAGATGAAACATGTGAATTCACTGAAACAGGAAGAGTTACTGCAATAAAATGATCATAATAAGGTAAATGCTCATAACATTAATACTTTGAAATAACAACACATATAAAAATAAATAAATACATTATACAACTATGGTACCCCTTTGGGTAGTAACCACAAAATATAAAAAAAAAAATGATGCTTAGATGTATTTATTTATATGCAGCTTCATTGGTGATGCACTAATTAATTAAATAGACAAGTTACCTTTGGATATCCTATATCTACCCAATTAAAAATTACATACAACCCCTTAATATTTATTTAATCACTTGAAAATTAATTCCCTTTGAGGAATTATTTCTAATAATTGAATAAACCTAATATTCATGAATTTTACAAAAAATTATAAGCATCATTATTCATGAAATATTACAATTATGTCTACCACTAAAATTAATATCTATTAATCATTATGGTTAGACCACTTTGGTAGCTACCAATCTTTTTATAATATAAATATTTAATTATCTAGTGATAAAATATATATACTGTGAGGTATATTAATAAGCATATATTTAATCATGTAAAAAACAACAGCATTACAATTCACAGTCTCGATTTGCACAGCAGAATCAAAAGTAAAAATTTGCCACTCTGTATCATTATACGAAAAAAAGCAAGCAGTTTGTTTTGTCTCTGTATCACTGTACGAAAAAACAACAAGCTTGTTTTGTCTCACTATATAATCTAAGTAATCATATCTATTTGTTGTTTATAATTAAATATACAACTTTCAACTTACTGTACACTTACCATTATGTACGAAAATCACACAGCAAGCTTAAATTGTCTTATTTGTCTCATTATGATATGTACATATATATAAGTTATATAACTATCAACAAAATAGTTAAGTTCGGAAATCAAGGCCTGATTTAACATAAGTCAACAAAACTAAATAAAACAAACAAATCCGTAAATTTAAATAAGGAAAAACACTATTGGATTCATGATTTAGAAAAATTAGATCGGATCTGTTATTAAAACAATGTCCGAAAACAATAAATTAAAAATATATGGATCCGTTATTAAAACAGTGTCCGAATACATTAAATTAAAATTATATATATAATTTTAAATTTAATTATATATATAATTTTAAATTTAAACTTACACATATTATTTATGCAAGGATAATAAAAAAATAATGAGTTCCAAAAGCTCGGATACTACATGTAAATTCGAATTAATTTGTGTTACACACTAATCACAAATTATCATAAATTTCTAAATCTTAGAACTTCAATTAATTTGACACCCTTATAACACATAAATAAATATAATTAGATATACATACCTCGATTCATAATATCAAACCTTATTGAAATTAAATCTAACGTCCAGATCCTTTAACCACGAACCAATCTACAATTCTGATCAACCGGTAAAGGCAGAAACTGATTTCTCTCCCTTGACCTTTTGCACACATAAAATTTTTACGTGTTGTATCCTTAATCGTACTTTTATAAAGGCAGAGAGAGAATTAGTTTTCCTTTTAGTAATATAATTTTACTTTCCATCAAAGTAAGAAATAAGAAAGGAAAATACTTCTCCAATAAGTAATGACCAAAAAGGTAATTATGAGTTAATCAAAAAATAAATAATATTAATTGATATTTATTTATTTAGCCACCAAATAATATGTCACATGTCCAAATCATATAGGCCACAATTAAATAAATAATTTTACATAAATAAGAATCAAACAAAATCAAACCACATAGAGAATTTGTCCACTCACGAAAATACAACAAAATAAACCAAAATCAAACCAGATAGAGAATCATATATGTAAAAGATATATACATATTCTTACATAAGCTTCTTAAGGTCATTGACGAAGATTGAAGCAAACGCATCCATTGTGATCTTTGGGAGGGACACACCAAACTCCACATCTCCCTGAGAATCCCTGCACTCACTGATGGAGAAAGCCCCGGTAAAATCTATGGAAATAATTTCGGTCTTTCGGGGCCTTCCCCACCCAAAATCCGGCTCATAAAGGCTGATCTTGGGCGACCCTGCTATCGACCGTAATCGATCCATTTTCAAACTCTTCAATTCGGAGAGCCAAGTCTCCGCACCTTTCAACACTCCCTCCGGCTCGTGAAGCCTCTCGGCAATGGCCGCTCCGATCGACTCTGCTGCTACGAAAAATCCTTGTTTTTCTTCCATTAGTTGGCCATGTGTCGCTCTTGCAAAACAAAATGCTAAGCAGTTACCAAAGTAAGTTGCGGGCATGGGTGGATCCAAACGTCCTCGACAATCTGCTGTAAAACCAAAGTACTCCAATTCATCGTCGTCGTCGTCATCATTCTTGCTGTCAACTCTAGTGCTTGCCCGTGATTTTAAAATGCAAATCCACATGTACGCACACGTTACTGTGAACGTCGATACATGTAATTGTACGATCGAATGTTGACGTGCCATAACCAATTCCTTGAGCCGTTGAACATCCATTCTTGATATGATAAATGTGGCGCGAACATAATTGGTGGTTTGAGTTTGACATATTTCATAATTTTTACCCCAATCTTCACACACTTGGCGCCAATATATTGTATCTAGCCCAATTGTGTCCTTTATCACGGTCCTGTCACAAAATGGGAGGTACCCTCTACCTAACAATTCCGCATCACTCCACCCAAATTTAGAAATGGAAGCCCATGACTTCATGAAACCGTGGAAGGCCTTACCGTCGGCCAGAACATGGTGGTAGGCGAACCCGAAACAAATGCCGGACTCTGGAAAAAGCGTGACCTGAATAGCTGCGAGCGGGACTACTTCTACTGTTGTCACCGAATCGGACCAGTTAGTAATCTGAGGGATGAGAAGGTGAAATTGATCGGCATTTCGTTCTTGATTTCCTGTGAGGTAATTGAAATCGTCACTAGACTCGGAAAAGACGAGTGAGACCGAGTCACCCTCCGCGTACCGGATTTGGGGGTTGCTAGAATTTGACGAGGGAAGTATGAGATTGGCAGCAAGAGGGAAAAAGTGTTTGAGAGTGAGGGAGAGTGAGTGTTTGAGATGAGGAATGAGGGTGTCCGTGAAATGGGTCTTAGAGTGATGGTGGAACTCGTAGAAGAGAAGCTTTTGTATGTGAGGCAGGGGTATAAACGGAATATCGAAAAATGTGAGGGGGAGAAGCTGATCGGCCACTGTACCGGGTGGTGGCGATATCCGGCAGTGCTCGATAACGTTCATTGTGTTGGCCTGAGGAATTTGTTGCGTTATTGGATCTATTGGTGGATGTTTCATTATATATATATAAAAGATGAGATGTATATATATATTATTTACATAAATATATATTTATATGTCGTCGTTAACATATTAATGCAGTCTAATGTGAGGTCTACATTACATATATTGGGTATAAATATTTATACGTTAATGTCTACATTACATCTTATCTTTTATGTGTAAATATATAGTGTGTGTGTGTGTATATATATATATATATCTATAGATATATGTGAGGTCTACATTACATATAATGGGTCAAGCCAAAAAATAATTCACAGTTCTGTTACTTTCAATCCGGCTGTATTTCATTACTATATGTCAATGTTAGCATATTAATGTAGTCTAACAACCTCCACCAATATACACCCTTAGTCTTAAATTATATGTCCATTATTTAATAATTTACTATCATCAAATAAATGCCATATTTAAAAAAGTTAAAGTTATTTTATTTTATTTTATTTATTTATTTATTTATTTATAACATTACTATTTTAATTTCCTTCCATTGAACCTATAAAAAGTAAATTACGAAGATATTTAGTAATTTATTTGATCAATAAAAAAAATTAAAATACATCCCTTTAAAATGTTAGATTTTAAAAAATAAAAAGTTTAATTTGGAATGAAAGGAGTACATAAGTATTATATGGAATAGTTAGGTGGATGCATATGATACAAAAAAAAAAAACAAATGATATTCTTTTCCCACTCTCTCAAAAAACAGGCAACACAAAAGAAATGAACTCTTTCTGGAACTATATTTAGGTGGGCAACTTAACAGAAAAAACGATATTTTGGTGGGCAATTCTCTCTCCTCACACACGACCTAACACAAACTATTCTGATCTTAAAATTAAGGAAAAAAAAAAAAAAACAAAAAACAAAAAACAAAAGAAACACTTAAAAAGATAGAGATAATAGAGAGGGGGAGATGTAGTTGCTGAATTTGAAATGAAAAAAAATAATAATAGTGTTACAAGAAAGTAGTGAGAGAGATAGAAAGAGAGACATCTATGAGTATATGAGAGAGAGAAAAAAAAAAAAGAAAACGAAGAAAAGGACTGAAAGAAGGCATATTTGCTGAATTTGAAACCAAAAGAAAGGGAGGATTACAAGGCACTAGTAATGAGAGAGAGACGTCTATGCGAGGGTGAAAAAAAAAAAAAAAAAAAAAAAAAAAAAAAGAAATAAATTAAAGAGGAGGTTAAAAGGCAATAATGAGAGAGATGCAGAGAATTGTGCCTACCTTGGCCTATGAACACATTCCATTTTCTATGGATATATAATAATATTATCCGTGGGATAGGCTTCACATGAAGCGAGAAAAGAAGTGATAAAAAATTTAAGAGTAATCGCAAAAATAACAAAATTAAGTCACAAATAGTGATAATGGGAACGAAAGTGCATTCAAAGTGTAAGAACGGAAATACGCTTGAAGCGTGAGAGTAACACCCAAAGATTATGTGACTTAAATCCCAATCAGGTAGGGACCTAATGAAGGTGTCCCACTGAATTGGAGTATTATTTTTTTGTTATCATATACTTTATTAATTTCCTTTTTCTAAACCATATACCTATAAAATTTTAAAATTACCCACTTTTTTTTCTTTTGTTATTATATACTTATTAATTTCTTTTTCCTGAATTATAATCCTATAAAATTTTAAAATTGCCTCATTAAAATTATTAAAAAAAAACTCCACTATTGCCAAACTCCATGATTTAAACTTTTTTATTTTTATTTTTATTATTGTTAAAGATCGGCCTCCTTTCACACAATTTTCTGAGTTTATCTCCAACCGTTCATACATTTTTTATTTTAGAAAAAAGAAAAAAAAAAAAAATTGGATAGAGAGAGAGAGAGAGAATTTAGACCCATTTGGGCATAAAACAAAACTGGGCTTAAGCAACCAAAAAATAACAGCCCAATTTCACCCAGTTCATAGGCCACAGCCCATCTTTGATTGATCATATTCAATGCAGACCTCATATTAGAGGTCCCAACAGATCTCATAAGATTCTCAACCCGCAGGGTCAATTATCCTCGAAGGTCCTACGCAATCACTTGGAAGGAACCACTCCTTTCACCGGAGAAAATATATTCTAAAAGTTATTCTGTACAACGGTTGTGTCGAGTCATTGTTACAGTCAACCACTACAAAATTTTGATCCCTAACTTATGTTTTTGTATCCGTCTCTGAGATTTGGCACTCAGGCAGCATAAATCTCGAGCATACTACCAATTTGGTTATCGCACTCTTATAATTTAAGTTTAGTTATAAATATATATAATATTTTTGGGTCGGGTTGGAGTTCAGGCCTCATCTATATTAACCCAAAACCAGGCTCAAAATTTATAACCTAAACTCAAACCGAAATTCAAAAAATATTGCTCAAGACCAAAAATTTCGAACTGGGTTCGGGTTATTTCAGGTTGGGCCTGCCCTAGTTGCAGCCCTAATTATAACTAATAATATCGGCACATATACATGATTGGGGTGGAGTTTCAAAATATTTTTTTCACTTTTTATAATATATTATTATTATTATTATTTATTCCAAAAAATGTGTAAGACACAACACATCTCCCAAACTATTAAACATGTATTCCTTTCTCTCCCCTCCTATACTCAATAATAAAAAATAAATAAATAAATAAATATATAGTGAGACCTCAATAGGAGAATGAGTTGTTAAACTAAAAGAGAAGAAAAAAAAAATAAAATAAAAATGAAGAAAAATAAATGGAGAGATAGACCACTATGAGAGTGGGAGTTGCTAAATTTTAAACGGGCCAAAAGAAAATAAATCGTTATGACACTTTGTGTGTGTGAGAGAAAAAGGGTGTTTTGCTAAAATTGAAATCAAAAGCGATAAACAATAATAATAATAATAATTAGGGGCATAAAACACTTTTAAAGTATATATCGCGTAATACTTTTATTCTTATTTTAAAAAGTGTGCAAAAAATATCCTTAATCTTTTCACATTATGCAAAAATATCCCATTATGTACATATTACCTTTTTTAAAAAAAAAAAAACTTTTTTTTCTATATATATTTCTAAACTTTTCTTTTTTCATTTTTAAAATTTTGAAAATTTGTAAAACATGGATTTGAATTTTTTGAAATTTCAGTTTACTGTTTTCTACTATTTTATTTTATTTTATTATTATTATTTTTTTTCGTACCAACACTGTTAAAAAAAAAAAAAGGAAAAAAAAAATCTCAATATCAGTGTGCAGTGATTTTCAGAGTTTGGAACAGATTTATTTTCTTTAGTTTGTACTTTATTTTTATTTTTTATTTCATATTTTATATTTTTATCTTTACTTCCTATGAGGTAATTGAAATCGTCACTAGAACTCGGAAAAGATGAGTGAGACTGAGTCACCCTCCGCGTACCGGATTTTGGGGTTGCTAGAATTTGACGAGGGAAGTATGAGATTGGCAGCAAGAGGGAAAAAGTGTTTGAGAGTGAGGGAGAGTGAGTGTTTGAGATGAGGAATGAGGGTGTCAGTGAAATGGATCTTAGAGTGATGGAACTCGCAAAAGAGAAGCTTTTGTATTGGATGTAGGGGTATAAACGGAATGTCAAAAAATGTGAAGGGGAGAAGCTGATCGGCCACTGTACCTGGTGGTGGCGAAATCCGGCAGTGCTCGATGACGTTCATACAATTTTTATTTTAGAAAAAATAATAATAATAATAAAAATAAAATAAAATAAAATAAAAAATAAAAGTTGGAGGGAGAGAGAGAGAGAGAATTCAGACCCATTTGGGCATTGAACAAAACAATGCTTAAGCAACCAAAAAATAACAGCCCAATTTCACCCAGTTCATAGGCCCCTGCCCATCTCGGATTGATCATATTCAATGCAGACCTCATATTAGAGGTCCCAACTGATCTCATAAGATTCTCAACCTGCATAGTCAATTATCCTCGAAGGTCCTACGCAATCACTAAGGAATCACTCCTTTCACCGGATAAAATATATTCTAAAAATTATTCCTTACAACAGTTGTGTCGAGTCATTATTACAATCAACCACTACAAAATTTTCATCCCTAACTTATGTTTTTGGATCCGTCTATGGGATTTGGCACTCAGGCAGCATAAATCTCAAGCATACTACTAACTTAGCTATCGCACTTGTTGAGGGAGAAATCTACGCGATCCGATGCGACACCGTTTTCCTGCAAAAAAAGAGAGTAAAAGATCGATAAATCTTAACAGCACCGGTGTGGTGCCCTGCCAAGAGCTCTCCGACGATCAAGTCAGTCATCGGAGGTCTAAAAGAAAGGCAGAGATTTAATAATAGTTTTTTGTCGTACCTTTATTGACTAGTAGAATCTCCTTCTTATAGTCGCTCTCCTTTAGTTCATTTGCAGGATCAGAGGAGATCTGCTTGTGCCAGATCAGAGGAGATCCGTTTGTTGCCAAATTTGTCGGGAATATGATTTACCCCTTTGACTTCCTCAAATTGTGTCAAGATTATCCTTACCGTCATATTTCATCATCGTTGAGGTAATAAAATATTATCATTCTTATCCAATGGAAATATCATCATTCGAAAGTCGAAGAGGTCTAGCGACTGGTCAACACTTAGTTGCCTCTGTCGTTAGGTCAAGGTAGGTTATGTTTATTTTTCCCTATCAGTTGCCCCCCATTCCCAAGTTTGCTCGTCTAGCTTTGGGAATGTGAATTTTTTTTTTTTTTTTTTTTTGCCCTAGGCACTGTTCCCTCGAAAATAGTAATTTTTTTTTTGGTACCCTTAGGAACTCTTCCCTCGGGTAATGTTCCCTTGGGTAATCTTCCCTTAGGTACTCTTCATTTGGGTTCTATTCCAGTAGGTACTATTCCCAATAGTGGAATTAATACAGATACCAAATCAAGGTTCTATTTTGGAAGGGTATGGATTCAAATCCATGGTCAATAACTCTTAGTGATGTAAAGCTGGATTTTTCTTTTGAAAATCCAATATACTAGTTGTAAACTTTGCGAGTTTCAATCAGCCCATCCCTTT